ATACAAAAAAATAATAATAATAATAATTATTATTATTATTATATATATATATATATATATATATATATATATATATATATATATATTAGAGCCCACTGGAAACACTCATATTAGATCTTTGATTTAGAAACAACACACTTTCACCACAAAATACACAATTACAAACCCAAAACCCCATTTAAGTGATGCCTTGCACAAGATAGTCCCTCCAAACCCCATAAACGCAGTCGAGCAATCATAAATCAGGCTGGTGAACATATAACCTTCATATTCACCTACAGACCTGGTTTTAGCGCTTTCCCCCACCCTCTTATTCTGTTTTTCTCACACTTTGGGTTGGAGGCTCTTGTTCTCAAAGATTGATGAGACCGTAGGCTGTATGTGTGAGACAGACAGAGCATGGAGAGAGAGAGAGCGAGAGAGAGGTGTGTATGTGTGGGAGGGAACAATAAGCAATATATCAGAGCGGTTTTTGGCTCTTCAAAGATGAAAAGCTTTGGCAGAGTAGCGTGTTGCTGTCAGAGATACCACGCAGAGATGGAGCAGCATTCATGCTCTGCGTGAGCATTAAGTTAAAGCCCGAACAAACGCCCTGTGACTGATCAGAATATTGTCAAATATTAATCCTGTGTTCTATATTCTGATCATATTCCTATTTGATTTCCAACTTCTGACTATAAAGGTATTTTGTGGCCTGATACTAAAAATAGCAATGCTACCAGAAGCTTTACAGATCAACAACAACAAAAAAAGAGTCCTGGCATCCATATTTCAAAGGACAAGCTAATATTTATACTGCATGTATATGATTATCAGAGAGGATTATTTACTGTGTTTTACACACTTGTCTCTGCAAAGCAGATTTTATTAGAATTTAATGATTGACATTGGACTCACTAAAGCAATTTATTGAAATAAAAATTAAATGATAGATCTCAAAATCAATGGGTCTATTTTTTGTACATTATAAAATAGTGATGCCTAATAAATCAATACCTTTTTCATTAAGGATGCATTAAATTGATCAAAGGTGACAGTAAAGACATATTTCATATAAATGCTTTTCTTTTGAACTTGCTATTCAAAGCATCCATCCTTCTGTCTATCCACCCATCATCCATATTTCAGCTAATTGCCAAGGTAATATTTCTCACACAAATTTTCCATAAAAATATTAAGCAGCACGACTGTTGACTGTTGAAGAAACACAATGTTTCTTGAGCAGCCAATCAGCATATTAGAATGATTTTTGAATGATTATGTGACACTGAAGACTGGAGTAATGATGCTAAAAATTCAGCTTGTTTATCACAGGAATAAATTACATTTTAATATATATTAAAATAGAAAACAGTGATTTTAAAATCATAATAAGATTTCTAAATATTACTGATTTACTGTATTTTTTATCATAAATTAATATTTTTAAAAATATATAATTTAAAGAACAAATTTTGAACTGTATACTGGCTATATTTTCTCTCTTTGCCAACTATACAACACAAATCTAAAGTTTTACATGGAAAGCTGATCAGACCCTGGCCCGAAAAAACATCTGTTGGGGGAAAAAAATGGTTTATGGTGTTATTTTGGTGTTGGCCAAAGGATGAGTGCCCTCAGCTGATTCTTGGCACTTCCTTCTACTTTTGGGGATTTTATAGTCGCCACCTCTGTCCAGGACTCGCTCACAGAGAGTATTACCACGCTGTTATGTGTAAAGCTGCTTTGGAACGGTTTATATTGTGAAAAAAGCTGTTAAAACACAGTGAAATCTAATCAAATGTTATTTCTACCATCATGCAGTGAACAAATGTGGATTTCAAAAGAGGTAAATGTTGTGTAGTATGTTCAAACATGCAGAAGAGAGAGTGAGTGTGTATGTTGATATATACAGTAGCTGTTGTTTACTGCCTCGTGCCTCCTATAGAGAGCACAAAGACGTCCCGCTGGGCTGCAATGCTCTGGAATATTCCATAAGCGTGTCTGCTCTAGCTTTCCATTCGATCACCGAGAGACAGAAGCCCCAGCCATGCTGGGAATTCTCCACGCTACCATCATGCAGTGAACAAATGTGGATTTCAAAAGAGGTAAATGTTGTGTAGTATGTTCAAACATGCAGAAGAGAGAGTGAGTGTGCATGTTGATATATACAGTAGCTGTTGTTTACTGCCTCGTGCCTCCTATAGAGAGCACAAAGACGTCCCGCTGGGCTGCAATGCTCTGGAATATTCCATAAGCGTGTCTGCTCTAGCTTTCCATTCGATCACCGAGAGACAGAAGCCCCAGCCATGCTGGGAATTCTCCACAGAGAGTCGCTTTTATCCGGAATTATCTGGAATTATCCCCATAGGGTTCGTAATGCCTGGCACACAGCAACTTCCTGGCTGTCAGTTTTCACCGCCTGCGTTCTGCCACAGCCAGGGAAGGATGGACACCTTCAGTCTGGAATTTAATTAAGACCTCGCTGAACATGTCCTGCTGTGCTGGCAAATTCATGCCAGAACCAAAAAATCAAATGCAAGCACCGGCAAAATCAAGAACAACTTGACCCACTTCTATTGATCGTTGAAAGGTTTAGTCTGTAGTTTAACCTTCAGTACTTCTATCTATCTATCTGCCTATCCATCTATCTATCCATCCATCCATCAATCCATCCATACGCTTATCCATCCATCCACCTTCTTACCTACAAACTTCAAGGTTTTTTAAACTACAAAATATTCAAACAAGACTTTGTCAAGCCAACATTCAAAGTTCAAAGTTTATCTTGATAAACATTCAAAATTCAATCTGAATTTAAATTCAAGTTCCTGTTTGCTACCACATGTTTAATTCTAATTCAAATTCAATTCAAAATGGATCACAAACCTGATGAACATCTTAAAAAGATTAGATTCAATATACATTCTGACAAATATCTGCTGCATGTTGTGTGAACATCCGACAGGGAATGTTTTGGCAGACCTACTGTAAGGAAATGCTAAAAACGTCATCCTCCAAATGAAAACTAATGCACATCTGGTCAACATACTTGTGCTACAGGGATGTGTCTCATTAACTCAATTCCTCTTATCGTTAGTCATTTATATTAATCACCTACTCTCTTGCTTCTGTCCAGGTGTGGTACATGGATGGTTACCATAACAACCGCTTTGTGCGGGAGTACAAGTCAATGGCGGACTTTATGACGTCGGATAACTTCACGTCTCACCGGCTGCCGCACCCTTGGTCCGGGACGGGTCAGGTGGTGTACAATGGCTCCATTTATTTTAACAAGTTCCAGAGCAACATGATCATCAAGTTTGACTTCAAGACGTCCACCATAAGTAAATCTCAGCGTCTGGACAACGCAGGCTTCAGCAACACCTACCACTACGCCTGGGGTGGACACTCCGACATCGACCTCATGGTCGACGAGGGCGGGCTCTGGGCCATCTACGCCACCAATCAGAACGCGGGGAACATCGTCATCAGCAAGCTCCACCCTCTCACCCTGCATATAATCCAGACCTGGACGACCAATCACCCGAGGCGCAGTGCTGGGGAGTCGTTTATGATTTGCGGGACGCTCTACGTGACCAACGGCTACTCGGGAGGGACGAAAGTCTACTACGCCTACCAGACCAACTCCTCGACATACGAATACATCGATATCGTTCTGCAGAACAAGTACTCGCACATCTCTATGCTGGACTATAACCCACGAGATCGCGCACTGTATGCTTGGAATAACGGACATCAGGTCCTGTACAATGTTACGCTTTTCCACGTCATCCGCTCAGAGCAACTGTAACCTTGGAGGATTTGGTTGGGAGTATCTGAAGACAATCTTTAGGAATGTTCTTCAACAGATTGTTACAAAAATGCTATGCTGAATGAAAACTAAACCTGAACAATAGACATGTGGATGGAACATAGAACACAAAATCATAAATAGATGCCAAAAAACTTAAATAAGCAAAGCCACGCCTTTCTTTTTTTACAAAAGGACTTTACTTTATAGGACACAGTCTGATCAGATGTTTTCCAGAAGCACTAAAAATACTTTTTATTCATGCTTTACTGCACAATGAAATGAAGAGAACGTTGGGATTAGTTACAGACTAGCAGCCCACACTCAACCTCATAAACGGAGCGTGTGCAGGAAAACTGATGGTGCTTCACTTGGCAAACTAACATGGACGGCTTACCAGTCTGTGCAATATCCTAAATCCAAATTGTATGCTTTGCAGAGCTCATTTCTAGAGGTAATATGAACAAATGTGATTGGCTGAAGGTGCTGACTGTTGAAAGCTTGTTCAAAAGGCTCTTGTGAGATTTTACTTGAACATCTCTGTGATTAAGTTCTCTAGATGGGGACCATATCATGGTATTTTATAATGACCTACATGTATGTAGCACCTGAGAACAGACCAAAGCGTGCTATTAAAGTCAACATGAAATCACACATTCCTGGTCTCAATGTGTACAATTACCGTAACTTGCTCCGCCTCTAAAACGACCTTCCTTTTTGTATGACATCATCAAGAACTCTTATTTTTCAGCTCCTCAATCGAACATATCCATCATTTTGGTCATATTTAACAGTGCAATCAATTCCCAATGGATAAAAAGTCTCGTCCCTTGTTTTTCTTGTCAAATATCCCATTAACACAGAAACACATCATTTCATGTTGACTTTAAACCTTCTCTGGTGAGATTATCACCCTTCAGGCTACCGATACTCACATTGTTGTGCTTGTAAATGGATGTCAGCTCTATCTGCATCATGATTGCTACATACGATACATCAACTCAGCATTACAGATGTGCCGGTTTTACCAGCAGATGGTTCAGGTACAATCTTACTCAGATTTAGTCTCTGTGCTGGTGAATTCTTGTAAAATGATTTCTTTAGTTTTGCATGAGCAGTTTCTCCATGCACAGGTGTGCTCAAAGGAATGTTTACCTGTGTGATGCTGTACATGACAGATTTGGGATCAGGGATGGTGGGAAGGAGGGAGGTTGGGGTTGGTTATAGTCTCTAGAAACCTGGGAATTAAAAAAAAAAAAAAAAAGATGCTTGTTTATATCTGGTACGTTTCGAGTGGCTTGTTTCTTAACGCCCATCGTTGATTTTTGTAGATTTACAGTTTGATGTTTTTTGTAATTTACAGTAGTACCGTCTGCTTGAGTGATGCTTCAGTGTCTTTGTTTTAGTTTGTTGGCGTTAGAAAGTCACATTTCTGTCACGAAAACTCAAAAAAATATCGATATCAGAATGTAAAATGTCTCTTTGGAGGACATCTAAAATATGAATATGAAACTATAACATCATTGAGCAGTCTAATATATAATGTAATCATTTTAACAAGGCTCAAACGGTCTGAAGCTAATTCCAGCTTTCATTCTTTTTGTGCTTCGCTGGATGTGTGTTGTACCTGCAATACAATGATTCTTATCAATAAAAGAGGATTTATATCCTGATGTCATCATTCGGTATTGATCTCTGAGTGTGTTTCATCATGGGGTCAAGGTTTCACCCCGGACCATCCTTGTTGAAAGAAACTAACACAAAATGGGATGCTGATTTGTGCTCACCAAGCTGTTTAGCTACCTTAACTACTACCTAGGGCTGCACGATAAATCGCATGCGATATTTAACGCGCATCTTGTCAGAAAAGCCGGTTCTGTAATCAGCGGTAAATCTCCATCACGTGCGTGCTTTCACATGGAGCAGCATTAACTACACAGAGCCGTTGTTCACTGACGAGCTGCGCAAAAAAATCTCGTCAGTGAACAATGGCTCTGTGTAGAAAGATGCGCGTTAAATATCGCATGCGATTTATCGTGCAGCCCTACTACTACCTTGATTAATCACCTTCACCAGCAATATAATGTTGGTTGACAAACTTCATCAGCTAAATTTTGCTGTTACACATGCGGAGGACAGGGTGAATTACATTTCATGAACACATTTCTGCATTAAACTGCTAAAAAGTTCTTATCATGGTATCTTGTTATGTAACATGATCAAAGGTTATTGCTTTCTGTTTCCTATTTTAAGCTCATGTCTGAAAAATATTCTGATTATTACTGTTATTATACAGAACTAACTACAGTCGAAGCCCAGCAGGCACAAAACATTTTCGCAACATTGCATTTTGGTTGCAATTTTCACAACTTTATAAAAACGTTCTAGCAACTACCAGTTACACAACATGACTCATCAAAAATGGTGGCTTTCTATTTCATATTTTTAAGCACATGTCTGACAAATTTGAATGTCTATGTGGTAAAACGTACAAGATTGGACGTGGTAATGAGGTTCCTAAAACATTGCAAAAGGACACACTAACAACACCATAATGTTGTTGCAACACTGTGAAAATACATATTACACTAACAAACACCTGACATCTGTCAAGTGTGTAGGATACCAAAAATCATTAAAACAACCTCTTCACAACAACAACATGCTGCACTTGCTATGATCCCACATGGGGCATAATGTAGCAGTGGCTAGCTCAACTAAAACAGCTGAGAATTGCTAGGTTTTGTCCTTTCTGTTGAGGGCTCCAATTATGTTAAAATGATATACTTTGCAGATACTTTCTTACCCAAATGTAAGTGGTAACCTACACAAATCACATCACTGCCATCTACCAGGAGTGGAATGGAAGGAGCCGAAACTAACACTAAAGAAACAGAAATGATTTTAGAAGGGACACTACTTTTTGTTTTTTTCAAAAACAAAACTATAAAATCCTAAATGAAGATGCTAAGATAATGTTAAGACAGCGAACTGTGGAAATACACTATATCATCAATCTCAGATTAAAATAAAATGTTAGAACAATGTGTCAATCTTTCATATATATATATATATATATATATATATATAAAATTCTTATTGGATAAAATCAAGTCCTGACATAGATTTCGTACTGTTTAACTAGGAAATACTTCATCCCTGGAGCCAAATGAATAGCAAAAGAGAGAAGGCACATGTTGGATATACTTTGCAGATACTTTCTTACCCAAATGTAAGTGGTAACCTACACAAATCACATCACTGCCATCTACCAGGAGTGGAATGGAAGGAGCCGAAACTAACACTAAAGAAACAGAAATGATTTTAGAAGGGACACTACTTTTTGTTTTTTTCAAAAACAAAACTATAAAATCCTAAATGAAGATGCTAAGATAATGTTAAGACAGCGAACTGTGGAAATACACTATATCATCAATCTCAGATTAAAATAAAATGTTAGAACAATGTGTCAATCTTTCATATATATATATATATATATATATATATATAAAATTCTTATTGGATAAAATCAAGTCCTGACATAGATTTCGTACTGTTTAACTAGGAAATACTTCATCCCTGGAGCCAAATGAATAGCAAAAGAGAGAAGGCACATGTTGAAAAAAAAAGAAGAAAAAAAGAAAAACCATTTCATCAAAATTCCAGAGGAACGGTTTCACCTTCTAAGTTAATAATGGAACTGAAATGGGCAGTAATGCAGTGAGCAGAGACCTGAGGCAATGACTCCTCGTGTCCTGATGAAAATATGATGGGATTTGGGCAAAAAAAGCATTTAGACATTCAGAATAAGAAACTATCATCTCTCTGGAAATGGCCCTGAAAAGTCCTGTTAGTACTCAGAAGGTACTTCCTTCTGAATCTCTCACTTCCTTTCTTTTTCTCTTTCCTTCTCCATTTAGAGAGTGTTCTTATCTCTCTCATGTGGGTTTTTACAGTATCTCTCGGTAAAGCGTAACAATATATCTTCAATCTGCTAATTCCTCCCTTCCCCCTTTTCTCATCCTTCCTGTTTCTCCTGCCCTCCGTAAGCTCTTTCTCTCTATATTTCCCACTGTAAGCTGTCCGCCCCATGTCATCCTCTCCCCCTTCCCTTTTTCTCTCATTTGATGTTTCAATCGATGAATAAATGATTGATTCTATTCTGAGCTGCTCGGTCTGGGAGAAACGGAGAGATTGAACAAAATACAGAGTGAAATAACAGACTCACGCTTTGCGAAACAATGCACCATCGTTTGGACTGAATCAATCTACATCTTCTCGAGAGAATCTTCTCTCCAGCTCAGCTCTTCTCTTCACATCTGTCATCATCCACCTCTTCATCAATCACTCTTTCTCTCGCCTTTTTTCTCTCTCTGCCAGCCAGTTATGCCATGGATGTTCCACTTGTGGCCCGTGGGCCAAATATGCCCCGTCAATCATTTTTATACAGCCCGATGACACACGAGAGCACTCAATAGTAACAGGCTTAGCCTAACTCAACAGGCATCAATTATAGCAGAGTACGACACATATCGTGACCATGTTTAAGGTCTTTCTGGCAAAAGTTCAGCTAACAGTTTCTCATACACAAACTAACAATGTCATACGTTCTTTCTAAAAATCACACTGAAACTCTGTTTTTTATTTCGTTTTTTTAGATCTGGCTCCTGAAATGAAGTCGGAAAGCCCTGACATGGACTGAATCCCAATCTGCATACTAGCCACTCTTAGTATATTAGCATTATATGTCCCAAATTCATATGACTTTGAAAACATGAAGGAAAATGTGTACCGGGCGGTACAAAAATGTGAAAATTTCTGAATTTTCACTCAGAAATCGCTAGTTAATCTCATCATTAATTACAAAGAAACAGCAAGTAATACATTGAATTATACATTAAATTTAGTAGAAAGACTGAAATCAAATATACAATAATTTAATATAACAATATCATAATTATTTGCTGGAAATTAAACCAAAATAATTTAGATGAAATAATGCTTATTTTTGAATTATTTTTTTTCAGTGAATTAAATAATTTACTAATTAATGTGCTTCATCTTACTTGATTATTTTCTCTTTTGATGAGCAAAAAACTAAAATATGAGTATTCAAAAAAAAAAAAAAAAGCTTAACGATAAAAGACTCAAAAGTAAATTATGAAAATAAGTCACATGCATTTGTATAGTGCTTACACAATACATATTGTATAAATTGTATAAATTTAAAGCAGCTTTACAGTAATAAAAAAGGAAAATAAAAGAATCAATTAAATGCAAACTTATTTAAATATGATACAAATTCAAAAGTTGTAAAGCAGCCTTAAAAACACAATAGTCATTTATTCAGCTCAAGTCAGTTCAATGATGATTCAGTTCAGTTCAATAACAGAGTTGATCTTGCAAAATTAATCCGATTCCGAAATGAATTCGATTCAGCTATAAAGCAGCTCTACAGAAGTGTCATATTCAGTTCAATTCACTTTTTTCAATTCAGTTTTGTTTTGCTCTCGCCCGACAGTGTCAGTGCCATCAAATTAATAATATTACTGAGTATCAGTTGTCTTTAAAAGCCCAACTAAGCAATCCAAAGGCGACAGTGGCAAGGAACCGAACTCCATCAGGTGACAGAAATGGAGAAAAAAAATATATCTATATATAAAAAAATCTAAAATGAGCAATCTGA